CTCAACTACGCCGAGATGGCTGTTGGAAAGGAGAACACGGAGGTGGTGGCGGAGGTACCGATGGATAAAGATGGAGAGATAGTGAAGCCACGTACGGACAAGAGAGAGTACAGAAGGATTGTTCTCAAGAACTCTCTTCAAGTGTTGTTAATCAGCGATCCAGAGACTGACAAAGTAAAGATCAATTCCTGTTTCTACTTTTAATTGCTCAAACAAGAAAGATTTAACTGATTCATGTGTCTGTCTACGTTGCTCTTACTTAGTGTGCTGCTTCAATGAACGTTAGCGTTGGATCATTCTCGGATCCAGAAGGGTTAGATGGGCTTGCTCATTTTCTTGGTACGTTTCTTCATTTCAAGATTCAGTTACTCAGTTCTGTCTTTGTAAAACAGTTATGAACATTTTAGTATCTGATTTTAATTTTTGTGTGGGGGATATTGTCAAGAGCATATGCTGTTTTATGCAAGTGAGAAGTACCCAGAGGAAGATAGTTACTCCAAGTACATCACTGAGGTAACACAGTATTGTTATTCTCCAGCTCTTGAATACAAACTTAATCATAAATTGATCATTCTTTGTTTTATTAGCATGGAGGGAGTACAAATGCTTATACATCCATTGAAGACACAAACTACCATTTTGATATAAACACTGACTCTTTTGATGAGGCTTTGGACAGGTAGGGCCTTACATTTGTTTTTATATTTATTCTGTTTTGTGTACTAATCTTTACTCATTATTGCCTAACCAGGTTTGCACAGTTCTTTATTAAACCACTGATGTCTGCTGATGCCACCATGAGGGAGATCAAAGCTGTAGACTCTGGTTAGCTTCTTGACTTTTTTGGATAGGTTTCATGTTGCAGTTTGTTTTAGTAATAAGTTTCTAACGAGTTCTTTCTCTCATCCAGAGAATCAGAAAAACTTGTTGTCTGACTCTTGGCGTATGCGTCAGGTATATATCTTCCCCTCGAGCTTGTTGGGCTTATGTCTAAAAGCTCTGCATAAATTGACAACTCACACGTCTGTTGATGTGTGTCTAACATGAGTGTTTTGTCTTTCTTTTTGGTTCACACAGTTACAGAAGCATCTAAGCAGAGAAGACCATCCATATCACAAATTTAGCACAGGTTCTTGTTCAACCTATTCTTTTAATTGGTGTGTTAATCTATTCTGCTAAGAAAGTGATATGTTTTCTTAGGGAACATGGATACTCTTCATGTACAACCTCAAGCAAAAGGAATAGATACAAGGAGTGAACTTGTTAAATTCTATGACAAGCACTACTCTGCCAATATCATGAATCTGGTTGTTTATGGCAAGGGTAGGTGTTGGTTCTAACCCAAAACTCGAGTTTCATTCAGTTTCTTTTGTTTCTGATAACAATACATCTCTCTCCTCTGGATGTCTTCAGAAAGCCTTGACAAAACTCAATGTCTAGTAGAACGGATGTTCCAGGAAATCCAAAACACCGACAAGAGTGTCCCTAAATTTCCTGGTCAGCCGTGTACTCCAGATCATTTGCAGGTTTTGTTTCTTAATTTTCAGATTTAACATTTGTTTCAGATACCATAATGTTTCTTAGGTGGTGGTTTTGTTCATTGGTTGTTCTAGGTTCTTGTGAAGGCTGTACCTATAAAGAAGGGCCACAAGCTTACCATTTCATGGCCTGTAACACCTAGTATCCATCATTATGAAGAAGCCCCATGCATGTACCTTGGTCATTTAATTGGTCATGAAAGCGAAGGAAGTTTGTTTCATGCGTTAAAAGAATTAGGTAGGTTCTCTCTGGGGCCAAACTAATAAATAGTTTTTTTAGCATAGATTCTATCTGAAAGGGGTAATAAATTGAAAAGCAGTTCTATTCTCTGTTTTTCAAAATGATTTAGGAAAAACTGTTGCTGTTAATAGCCAAGATAAATCTTCAAGATTGATTGTCTCCTCTGTATTAGTCATATAATCTAGTAGTCTTTCTTAAGATTTTCCTAATACTAGCACAGGTTGGGCAACAAGACTGTATGCTGGTGAAGGAGACTGGACTATGGACTATTCTTTCTTTGATGTTTCAGTTGATCTTACTGATGCTGGCCATGGTAGGCTTCTTTGTTCTTCCTTGTTTTATATGGATCTGGTTTTGATTTTTTTTTTGTCTTGTTTGTTTTACAGAGCATATGCATGATATTATAGGGTTGTTGTTCAGACACATTAAGCTCTTACAACAATCTGGTGTTTCCCAGTGGATTTTTGATGAGGTATTGGTATTATTAACCGTGCTAGTGATTTAGTTTCATTAAAGACATTGATACATTTTTATTTTATTGTTGTTGAAGCTCTCAGCTATCTGTGAGGCAGAGTTTCATTATCAAGCCAAAATAGATCCAATCTCTTATGTTGTGGATATTTCATCAAACATGACGGTAATAGTCTTTCCTAGTTGTTCAGTGACTTCTCATACTTTTCTTGTATCTCATGTGGCAAAAAAATAGAATAGATGCTAGACAATTCATATTATTTTTGTAAGAAAATCTTATGTGTTTCTTTTGCAATTGTGCTTCAGATATACCCAACCAAGCATTGGCTCGTTGGATCATCTCTACCTTCAAAATTTAATCCAGCTATTGTACAAAAGATTCTAAACGAGCTGTCTCCTAGCAATGTCAGGTAAGTCTCTGTTGTTGAAATGCATCTTCCACAAGCAGACAATAACCTAGTGTTGTATTCTTTAAAATTTACATGCCAAAGCTCACTGCCATTATATATATGTTTGTAGAATCTTTTGGAAATCAAATAAGTTTGAAGGACAAACTGACAAGTTTGAGCCATGGTACAACACTGCTTATTCTTTTGAGAATATAACTGAATCCACTATTCAGGTTGGCTTTTTGATATACCTTTTAGTTTCCTTTATGTGTTCAAATTTGTATTGTGTTTGATTTGGAATATGTGATTAAACAATTACAGGAGTGGGTGCAATCTGCACCTGATGTAAATTTGCTTCTACCAGAACCTAATGTCTTCATCCCTACAGATTTTTCATTAAAGGATGTTAAAGATAAGGTTCAGTTCCATCACTCTAGTAACAAATTAAAAATGTTTTACAAAGCAGTTATCTCATGATGCTTAACTAAGTTCTGGAACAGGAAACTTTTCCTGTTTTGTTGAGAAAGACATCGTTTTCAAGATTGTGGTACAAACCTGATACAAAGTTCTACAAACCAAAGGCATATGTTAAGATAGATTTCAACTGCCCCCTTGCAGCCTCTTCTCCTGATGCTGCAGTTCTTTCCAATACTTTTGTTTGGTTGCTTGTGGACTACTTAAATGAATATGGTAATATTTGATATATAAATTTCTCTTTGGACTACCTCTAGTCATTAGGAAAGACAACTCTATGGTAATAGATTTCTTGTTTATGTCATTTTTTACTCTATGTTTCAGCTTATTATGCTCAGACTGCTGGTCTTGACTATGGATTAAGTCTTTTAGACAATGGTTTTGAGGTGAGCTTGTACTTGGATTTCTGACGTATTTTCTTGTGTATTTTCTCAGTGAAATTTCATGTTTGACTAAAGTGTTTCTCATTCCAGCTCTATCTTGTTGGTTTTAATCATAAACTGAGGATCTTGCTTGAAGCTGTCATGCAAAAGATAGCAACATTTGAAGTTAAACCTGACAGGTTTTCTGTTGTCAAGGTAAGTAACCTTGATAGACATCAACAACTTCTTCACTGCATGTTAACCATATTCTTGTAACAGGAAACAATCACCAAGGCATACCAAAACTACAAATTCCAACAACCATATCAACAAGCATTGAGTTACTGCTCAATGGTTTTACAAGATAACACTTGGCCTTGGACAGAGGAACTAGATGCTCTCTCTCATTTAGAACCTGAAGACTTGGTAAATTTTGTTCCAATGCTGTTATCAAAAACCTTTCTTGAGTGCTACATAGCAGGTACCAACTTGTTGTATGATTTACTTTGGTCTCTAATCCTTTTTGTTCTGTTTATATATATATATACATGTCGTGTGGTTCTTTGAACATTGGATTATGTCTCTTTTCAGGAAACATTGAGAAGAATGAAGCTGAGTCAATGGTCAAGCACATTGAAGATGTTCTTTTCAACAACCCAAAACCTATTTCTCGTCCGTTGTTTCCATCTCAGTTCCTGACAAGTAGAGTTGTAGAGCTGGGAACAGGAATGAAATACTTTTACCATCAAGAAGGATCAAACCCCAGTGATGAAAACTCTGCTCTAGTGCATTACATTCAGGTAGTTACCAGTAAGCTTTCAACAAGTTTTTGCATGGCTTAAGGCTTATCTTGTAGATATTGATGCTTAAAACTCTTTTGTTATGAACAGGTTCATCAAGACGAATTTGCCATGAATAGTAAACTTCAGCTTTTCGGTCTCATTGCAAAGCAAGCCACATTCCACCAGCTTAGAACAGTGGAGCAACTTGGTTACATCACTTCACTTTCTCGGAGGTATGTAGCTATTTCTCTAAATAATATCCAGGAGTTATTATGTTTTGATGCATAACCACTTTTTCTTCTGCAACACAGCAACTACTCTGGTGTCTATGGTGTACAGTTCATTATCCAGTCTTCAGTTAAGGTAACCAACTTTTCTTACCTCTCTCTTCCACTCATACATTGAATAGTTAATGCATAGTTTCTTAACTTGCCTTTTGAGTTTATCGTTAATAGGGTCCTGGACATGTTGATTCAAGGGTGGAGTCACTACTCAAGGATCTTGAGAGTAAGATTTACAAGATAAGCGATGAGGAGTTCAAGGTGAGATGGGCCTAACTAGATACTATATAGAATCATATTTGCTTTGCTTAAGAGAAACCACAGCTTCACCATTAAAGCCTATTTGTAACTGACATGACTTTCTACTCAGAGCAATGTAACAGCTTTGATAGACATGAAGCTTGAGAAACACAAGAACTTGTCGGAGGAATCTTACTTTTACTGGGAAGAGATCCAAAACGGGACATTCAAATTCAACCGTGTAGATGCAGAGGTACCATATGAATCCTCCAAAGTTATCTAGTTTTAAAAACACTTAAAGTCTAGCTCAATCCAGTAACATCGCTTCCTTGGGGGGTGTTGTTTGTGTGGTTAGGTGGCTGCACTAAGAGAGCTAAAGAAGGAAGAACTGATAAGTTTCTTTGACGAATACATAAAGATTAACGCACCAAAGAAGAAATCTCTAAGCATATGTGTTTATGGAAACCAGCATTTGAAGGAAATGGCGTCTGACAAAGAAGAAGTTGCATCACCATTCATAGAGATTGAAGACATTGTTGGTTTCAGAAAGTCTCAACCTCTTTACGGTTCGTTGAAAGGTTGGAACCAGCTGAAACTGTGAGGAGGTTCCAAACTATTTTCAAGAAAATACACTTATTACCAAAACGATATCGTCTATGTGAATCTCTATTCATCTGAATATAATAAACACAGAAGCTGTAGGAAAGATATTGTCTCATCATAGAACATAACTTGTGGTAATAATATAATCATTGTGTTAGGTTTATTATCAGTTCATCATGTCCTTATGATAAAAATTGTGACAGCTAATAACATGCTGCTGACACTATTATCCTGCAAATCATTGTTAAAACTCATTGAAGATTCTTCTGGTGTGATTCAATGAATGAGATATCAATGTTAACTCTCAGCAGAATCTTCGGGTGTGATTCAATGAATGATCGTTCGATCCAATAATTGATATTTTCTAATTCCAAACTCTATGGACATATGGGCAGACCAGTGGGCCATATTTGAGATCTCTCTATCCTTAAAGATCCGACAAGAATAAGCGAATTGCGATGCTTGCTGCCGTAAGCAAAGAATTATTCCAAAGGGTATAAAAGAATCATTCCAAAAGGCAAATAACTTGGTCAAATAAATGTTAGGGGTTAAACCAAAGATGCAGCAACCTAACACCGAAACCGAGTCAAACAAAAACAAATAAGAAACAGAGTCAATAAAACAAATTTTCATCAATATCCAATGATTTTGGAATCCAAAGATTGTTTCAATGTATCATCAAAACCTCACAAGAACAGTCTTCTAAATTAATAAAGTAACAAAAAGAATATGATTTTCTTGATTTTTTTTGGTTGGACAAATCAATCAAACATCAGAGAATAGCAAGAGATCTCTATAGAGCCATGAAAAAAATATTAATCAAATTTTCATCAATATCCAATAATTTTGGAATCCAATGTATCATCAAAACCTCACAAGAACAATTTTCTCAATCAATAAAGTAAGCAAAAAGAATATGTTTTTTTTTGGTTGACAAATCAATCAAACAACAGAGAACAACAAGAGATCTCTGGCGTCTTCATACACTTGAGAAGACTTGACACCACAAGCTGCACCAGTTCCAGTTCCTAACCCAACAACTAACCCGGTCGAATCTTGACCCGAACCACTCGAAACACCACCACCTCCAAGTAAATCAGTGACGCCGCCGCGACGGTGATGGCCGTCGGAAGGAGGATGGTAATAGAGACGCGCCGTCTGAGGGCAGTGCGAATGAAACCTAGCCGCTATTCTCACGCCTAGATCCAACATCTCCCCGTACTTTCCCATTCTTTGAAAGATCTTTTATATTCTTTGTGCTCTTTTTTTTTGTGTTGGTTCTCTTTCTCTTCAAGAGAGAGAGAAAGAGAGAGACGAGAGAATGATGGAGAGTTTTTCCAAGTCGAGTCTAATATATAGGGTGCGTGAAAAGCGGACCAAGTCTTATCTTGAGGGTTTCATAGTTATTTCCTGTTTTTTTTCTCAGTCCCTATGTTTCTATTGTATTTCCAAATTGCCCCCTCATGTTTTGTTAAGTATTGTGTAATCATAACAATTAACAACCATAAGTTATTAGTTATTACTTATTAGTATTAGTTGTTTACTATTCATGATAATTATTATTTTCAGATCTTTTTGAATGACTAATATTTAAATATAAGATAAATAGTATATTAGAGTATTGAAGTGAAATTTATTGAAAACCTTTGGGACTGTATATTCATTTATGAAACTATAGGGTTGAAATTATGAAAAACTGAAAATTCTTATTCTGAGAAGTAAATTTAGCGTTTCTTTGAAGGAACCGGTTTAGCGTTTCTTAACGTTTTTTCTATGTTTTCTAATAATTAATGGGAAAATTAATGAATCCGCGTTATAATGGGTCGTCTACTATACCAAATAGTCGCCGCGTATGCTTGACTGCGGCAAAACCGCGAAGGTCGCTTGAAAAGTAAGCGTTTAGGTATCATCCGACTATTTTGGACTTGCTTTTAAGACTTTTTGACTTTAAATTTATGAGTTTTGTTGTCAAAAAAAAAAATTATGAGTTTTTTGTTAGTAATATTTCACTATGAACTTATACACTGTTACATCAAGTTAGACTAGTGTCAACTAAATTTGATTTTTGACGCATGTTAATAACTGGTTGTATAGGACAGTTAAAGAACTTTTCTCGGTTTTAAATCTAAAGATTCATGCTAGTTTTGTCAAGATAATGTATAAATGTATAATTATATCTAAAATATAACATTTGAATTACTTATAAGGGAAACTTTCCCTTCCTCCTTAGTTTCCTTTAAGTAAACAAATCAAACTAATACTTATGATTTATATGCTAACTTGCTAATTCTTTTGATGATTTGCTCATTAGTCATTAATGAGATTTTTAAAACTTCTTGCCAAAATCACATTTGTAAGTTCTGACTCCAAATAAAGTTAGAATGGGCTTATAAGATTAGTTGAATTAACCAACTTTAGCACTAACTTTTCTAGAGTTATTTCTGGGTATGTAGTGTAACAGAGCCACTTATAACATTCTAGCGTTCTAGGCTATATATAGTCATATATAGAGTTTTCATTTCCCTAATCAAGACAACTTAGATTGTATATAAGTCATAAAGTTGCAGAGGTCTATAGTATAAGTCATACCTGCTTCCAGCAACGTCTTAGTTTTTTCATGCAATCTACAAAAAATATGGAAGCAGAGGAACGTATGATTGAGGCATTTAAACAGTTTTCAGGGTACTTAATCAAATAATCTCATCTCATAACGATGAACAGAATATGAAAGTTGAGTTTTCATACCTTGTAAATATAGGGATCATGTCTTCCTCCTGTGCCATACCTCTTCACTTCCTCCATCTGCAACAACCTGCTTCAAGATATCAAACTTCGTAAGGTTGCTGATGGTTTTGATCAGTACTACAAGCCTATAACTATCTTCAACTAAACCTAATTCATGGATAAAATGGTTAACAAGTGTGTTTGTGCAGTGAAGTATGATGAGTTTACATTCTGAGAGCTTTGCTGGTATCTGGTGTGTTGCCAAGAACCTGACGTATCTGAAGTTCAGAAGAAGAAGAACCCGTGGAAAGAAACTCCAAGATTTCTTTTGCTCTACGTCGTATAGAACTTGACCTGCTACTCTCATTCTTATTCTCCTTCTTCTTTTTCACTTCCACTCTTACCTTCTCGTAACTTCTCTGCTTTCTCAGATTCATTCTGCTTGCAAACGTGGAAACCTCACTGGAACCAGTTGACAAACATGACGACTCTTCTTTCGAATCAACAGAGAATGTTGACAGATCACACACAGATCCCCAAATCACCTGAGAACGACGTTTTCTTGCTATCTACGTAAAACATCAAAATCAAAAAATTCCACAAGAGGCTTAGTCAATCTAATTTTCCCAGTGATTTCAATTCTCATACGATCTTAGATAACATTCCACAACGATTACTCCGAACACAGAGACGTGATGAAGAGTGAAGAGTTCGTACCTTGAGATTCGTGAGACTAAATCGATCTCCAGCGTAACTGAATTCGAATCCGAGGTTGTTACGATCGCTTGATAGAGCAGAGCCGCACGATCCCGATCCGTTAGATCCCAAAATCAAGCTTCCTTCCTCACACCAGCTCGATTCCTCCACAGATCTCGACCTATAATCACAAACAACAACGATTGATATTTTCACAGATCTAGATCTCGATTTCTCGTAATTAGCTTGGAAATTTTGAAACGAATTGGTTGTTAGATGCGACCTTGTAGGTGAGATAAACACCGGTGCGTATGAAAGAAGGAGGAGCGAAGAAGCAACTGTTATCTCCGTCGTAGAAGGAAACTCCGTCATCTTCTAAGATTCGCTTCCGAATCGGAAGGTTTCTCTGAGTTTCTATCAATGGCGGGATGATTTGATTCCCTTTTGAATTCCACACTCTCTCTCTCTATACACAACGGGCAGCGAAGGATCGGAGAGATAATTGGCGAGGACTTATATCAAGCCCATTAAAGGCTCAGTTAAGGCCCATTAAAGGCCAAGTTAAAGCCCATAACGCCCATATAATGGCGGGATTAGTCATGGGTATTCGGGTTTTCGGATCGGGTCGGTTCGGTTTATTTGGTTTTCGGGCTGGGATGTGTAGGAACCGTTTAGGAACCGGACATTTTTCAGATCGGTTCGGTTCAGATAATGTCCGGTTCGGGTCCGGTTTCTAGTTTTTTATAAAACCCGAAGTGGAACCATATTACAAATAATTCGGGTTTAGTTCGGGTTTGAAGTCTAGTAAACCGAAAAAATCCCGAAAACCTGAGTTAAATCCGGAAAACCACAAAAATTTATTCGGGTAGTTCGAATTTTTTAAATATTTTTATATATAAATTATATTTTATATATATTAAAAATTAAAAATAATTAATATTTTTAATGTATTCAAAATATTCGGATACCTGCTCGGTTCTCGGTTCGATCTCGGTTCGGTTTCGGTTTTTCGGATTTAAAAATATAGCAACCGTTCGGGTTTTTATAATTTTTGGATCGTTTTCTATTTCGATTTTTTCGGCTTGGTTCCGGTTCGGTTTTCAGGTTTCGGATAATATGCCCAGGACTAGGCGGGATGATATGATACGACGTCATAAACTATATCTCCAAGTCATGTCCTCTTGCCTTCACCTTCATCTCCCTCCGTTATCTCAACCGCTTCCGTTTTCCCGCCACAAACGCCGTTACCCTCTTCGCGCCACAAAAACCTCTTCATCACTAACGGAACTCTCCAACACCGTCAATGTCGTCTCCCCACCTTCAAAACTCATCTCTCAGTCACGCTCACCGGAGTTTTGGATCGATTCCCTCCGCTCCAAAGTCCGATCAAACCTCCTCCGCGAAGCCGTCTCAACTTACATTGACATGATCGTTCTCGGCATAAAGCCAGACAACTTCGCCTTCCCGGCTCTACTAAAAGCCGTCGCCGACCTAAACGACGTCGTTTTAGGGAAACAGATCCACGCGCACGTGTTTAAATTCGGATACGGAGCTGACTCCGTAACCGTCGCGAACACGCTCGTGAATTTCTATAGAAAATGCGGAGATTTTAGTGCTGTCTGCAAGGTGTTCGACAGAATTCCCGAGAGAAACCAAGTCTCTTGGAACTCGTTGATTTCTTCGTTGTGTAGCTTCGAGAAGTGGGAGATGGCGTTGGAGGCGTTTCGTTGTATGTTGGATGATGACGTGGCGCCGAGTTCGTTTACTTTGGTGAGTGTAGCTATGGCTTGTTCGAATTTGCGTGAGGGGTTGTTGTTTGGTAAGGAGGTTCATGGGTATAGTTTGAGGAGAGGTGTGTTGAATTCGTTTATGGTGAATGCTTTGGTGGCTATGTATGGTAAATTGGGGAAGTTGGGGTGTTGTAAAGTTTTGCTTGGGGGTTTTGGAGGTCGTGATTTGGTGACGTGGAACACTTTGTTGAGCTCTTTGTGTCAGAACGAGGAGTTTGTTGAGGCGTTGGGGTATTTGAGAGAGATGGTGTTGGAAGGTGTTGAGTCTGATGGGTTTACTATTTCGAGTGTGCTTCCTGTTTGTTCACATTTGGAGTTGTTGAGGACGGGGAAGGAGATTCATGGGTATGGTTTGAAGAATGGGGCTTTGGATGAGAATTCTTTTGTTGGGAGTGCTTTGGTTGATATGTATTGTAATTGTAAGCGAGTGGTGAGTGCTCGTCGTGTGTTTGATGGGATTTTTGATAGAAAGATTGGTCTTTGGAATGCTATGATCGCTGGATATGCGCAGAATGAGTATGATGAGGAAGCGTTGTCTTTGTTTATTGAAATGGAAGAAAGTTTTGGGGTTTTAGCTAACACGACCACAATGGCAAGTGTTGTACCTTCTTGTGTTCGTTCTAATGCATTTTCTAGAAAAGAAGCTATCCATGGTTTTGTCTTGAAGAGAGGTCTAGGAGAAGATAGGTTTGTGCAGAACGCATTGATGGATATGTATTCTAGGCTGGGAAAGATCGATATCGCAGAGATGATATTTAGTAAATTGGAAGATAAAGATTTAGTTACATGGAACACGATGATTACAGGTTATGTGTTCTCAGAATGTCATGAGGATGCTCTTCGTGTGCTACACAAGATGCAAAACTTTGAAAGAAAAGCTGATCTGAAACCTAACTCCATCACTCTGATGACAATCCTCCCTAGTTGTGCTGCACTGTCAGCATTAGCAAAGGGGAAAGAGATCCATGCTTACTCCATCAAGAACAATTTGGCAACTAGTGTGGCTGTAGGAAGCGCTTTAGTTGACATGTACGCAAAATGTGGCTGCCTCCACAACGCTAGAAAAGTGTTTGATCAGATTCCAATAAAAAACGTCATAACCTGGAATGTCATCATAATGGCTTATGGGATGCATGGAAACGGGCAAGACGCCATAGATCTGCTCAAAATGATGATGGTTCAGAAAGTAAAACCAAACGAGGTTACATTCATCTCAGTGTTTGCAGCTTGTAGCCACTCAGGGATGGTTGATGAAGGAATGAGAATATTCTACAATATGCAAAACGAATACGGTGTTGAACCTAGCTCAGATCACTATGCATGTGTTGTAGATTTGCTTGGAAGAGCTGGTAGAGTTGAAGAAGCATATCAGCTCATCAACACGATCCCTCTTTATTTCGACAAAGCTGGAGCTTGGAGTAGCCTCCTAGGTGCTTGTAGGATTCACAATAACCTAGAAATTGGAGAAATAGCTGCTCAGAATCTCATTCAGCTTGAACCAGACGTAGCTAGTCACTATGTGCTACTTGCTAATATCTACTCATCAGCAGGTCTATGGGAGAAAGCAACAGAGGTAAGGAGAAAAATGAAAGTGAAAGGCGTGAGAAAAGAACCTGGATGTAGCTGGATCGAGCATGGAGATGAAGTACATAAGTTCATAGCTGGTGACTCGTCTCACCCCCAAAGCGAAAAGCTCCATGGATATCTGGAGACCTTGTGGGAGAAAATGAGAGAACAAGGGTATGTACCTGACACGTCTTGTGTGCTTCACAATGTAGAAGAAGATGAGAAAGAGGTTTTGCTATGTGGACACAGTGAGAAGCTAGCGATTGCGTTTGGGATACTCAACACATCACCGGGTACTGTTATAAGAGTGGCTAAAAACCTCAGGGTTTGTAATGACTGTCATCAAGCCACAAAGTTTATCTCAAAGATTGTTGATAGAGAGATCATATTGAGAGATGTTAGGAGGTTTCATCATTTTAAGCATGGAACTTGCTCCTGTGGAGACTATTGGTGAAACATGAAAGACATGATGCATCAAAATTTCTCCCGCTGTATAATTTTGTAAGTGTTGATTCTTGTATAATTCGCTGTACCATAAAAAAGCTGCTTATTTTTTGCTGAGAAAGCAATGACCGAACGTTAAGATTAAAATATAATTAGACTAGATATTCAAAGAATCAAAGTCTAAATATGGATTAATTGACTGCATGATTAATGAAAACGACCAATTTCTAATATATCTTTTGAGCTGTCATTGTATGACCTTCATGATGAGTTGGCTTTTGTATGTATGTAATCACTTTTTTTTTTTGTTAAATATTAAATAAATCTAAGTACTTAAGGTGTCTTTCTTAGTATGCCATGAATATAGAAGATGATACCACTCTTAACAATGTAAGGATATCAAAAGTTATATAAAATTGGTTGAGTTCACTTGGTCGGCACCAGCTATCACCTAATGCACGTAATAATACTCTTGTTTTCTGTCTTAATAACATACAAGTCTAAACCTAACAATCATGTTATATAATAGAAACACATATATATATATATATATATATATATATATATCAGATAATTAATACCATAATACACATGTGATGCTGAATATTCCACTAAGGAAACAAAAAAAGGGTTCTGATAGAAGAAGCATATAAAGGAAAGATAGCCAGCCCCACCCATGTCCTCTGGCTAAGATAATCAAATATGCGAAATGGACCCAGTGGTCGCCATGAAATGATGAATTTTCTTAAACAAAAGTTGGTGTATATTATTTTACAATATGATTCTGTTGACTGGATTGAACTATTCTGAAAATTACCGGTCCTAACAGATTCAAAAATCGAACTATAGTATATTTTTAAGAATTGTGTGAATATGCAAAACATCAAAGCACTATTTTTGTAGCGGACTTATGAGTTTGTTTAGTTATATGTCAATATCAGTCTTATATGTTAATAACGTAGGTTAGGGAGATTTGAATCTATAATTAGTGAAGCAAAAAGAAAGTAAAAGAACACTAATCCATCATGGTTAATCATTTTAAAGTTCGATACTCTCCCCAACACAATGACATTTTTGAAGTTAATATATGTATAAATTAAGAGAAACATTGATAATAATAAAATGAAAAAGAAAAAAAAGAAAAGCAGCCATCACGACCGGATCTTTTATTTCTATCTCTCAAACATATGTTCTTCTTTCTCTTCATCATCATCTTACCACTCGCCTCCTCGTCTACGCAACTCGATTCTATAAAAATCTATCTGGATAAAGCAAAACAGCTACACAATTTTAAAAAAAGGTATGAACATTAGATAGAGAGAGACGCTTAGCTTTAATTAAACACAGCGCATACCTTACCTCCTTTCAATAATCTTTCTATTTTTTTGGTTTTTTGCTTACTGCTGATCTCTTTCTACTTGAGATCTATCTATTCAGGTACACGTTAGGAGTTTGTATATTCAATTAGCTTTCATATCTTCATGAATTGGATCCCTGCTTTGTTTTTACTTTAACCTGAGTTTAATGGATCTGCTTAAATTGTTTTTTTTTTTGTTTTTTGGTTCGTTTTGCGTTTATGTGGTCGTGCATGCTGGTTCTGTATCAGGACTGATTATTTACTAGGAATCGTTTAAGTTAGGGTTTTTTATCAAATAGTGATATAACAGTTAAGAACACAAGAACAATGGTCACGGTACAGTGATCACTGGATAATGTTTTGTGATCTCTCTAGCTACCCAGATTTGACTTCAAAAGTAGCCTAAGGCTAACATTGAATGTATTTTCGTTGATCTAAAACCAACACAAAGAGGTGGATTCTTCCACCGGATCTGTGAGTGTGTACAATAGGTTAAGACAACAATATTGGATCACTGCTTCATCATGCCTTGGAGTTTTCTTGTGGTTACTCTAACGTGGAGTGCTTGCTACTGTATGTCAATGGATTACTACTGCGCTATGGGGGTTTGATTCAGTATTCGCCAAGGCTAATCTTACAAGAGTTTACCACTCATAGCTGATCTTTAGCAATACACGAAACTCCACGAGTGATAGAAGCCTAAATGTTGAGTTTATCTTATAAGAGTGTACCACTCACAACTGATCTTTTAGCAATACACGAAACTCCACGAGTGATGGAAAGCCTAGATGTTGAGTTGATTTTGTAGTTTAGCTTGGAACTTTGGAGGCAGGCCTTTCCCTGATATGCGCCCAGTATAACGTCACCACTATGTCTTGTTTTCCAATGAAGAATCCAAGAGTGATACATCGACACTGGTCACTTTTGTATTATCCTTCTCCAAATAACGATAAGCTTGAATTTCCTGAATGATTGGATTGCCAGACTAGTGAATTGTGGGAGGGAATTGAGTAGTCTCTGCATGATTTTTTGCTGAGTGGACATATAGCTCAAACGTGCTCCTACATAATACCTTTTTGTCCTCGTATATGATTTGTCATTTTAGAAATTTAGTTGTAGAAGCTGGACCTTTATGTTGATCTTTAGTTTTTATAAGGTTCATAATTGCCCCCCTTTAGATGAACATATTTATGCAACGCCAAGAAATGTATTGGTTTTACAGGATTCCTCCAATCGCAGTTTCAGCTTATAAAACAGTCTCTTACCTTCTTATTTGTTTCCCACTTGTTCTATGTTCTTGGCAGGTAGTTTAAGTATTTTTACTTGAGGACGAGATTGACTATTATATGCAGAATGTCTGGGTCAACCAAAGTATTGGATCCTGCGTTTCAAGGAGCCGGGCAGAAACCGTATCCTTTCGTAATCTTTACTTTTTCGTTTTGCTTTAATATTAGATGGCAGGGAAGCAATACAATTGTTTCATAAGTGGAAGTACAGAGAGGAAACTTCAATTAGTACCGCTTTTGCATGCACTAAATTTCTTGATATTGTTGAACGTTTTAGTGCTGTCTGAGGTGTTGAACTTAACATTTATTAGAGGGACTGAAATCTGGAGAATCGAAAATTTTCAGCCAGTTCTAGTGCCCAAATCGGAACATGGAAAGTTCTACATGGGAGATACTTATATCGTCTTGCAGGTTTGGGATTTATTACACTGTGTTTTTTCCCTTCTTTATGTATGCTTATTAATAGACAAATTATAAGATATAACTTGATATTGGCTTACAGAACAGGAGAACATGCTTTTTTTCTGATCATATGTATAAATTATAGTGTATATGCCGTTTATTAATTTTCACATTAGCATTCTTCTCTTTGATCTATATGCAGACGACACAGAATAAGGCGGGTGCTTATCTATTTGATATACATTTTTGGATTGGTAAAGATACAAGCCAGGTATCTGTTTTCGGAATTTATTTGTAATGTTAGCATATAGTGAACAACAAAAACAATGATGAATCTTCTTTGTTACTAATCTGCGATTGGTGATTCCAGGATGAAGCTGGAACAGCAGCTGTGAAGACAGTTGAACTTGATGCAGGTCTTGGAGGCCGAGCTGTCCAACACCGTGAAATTCAAGGTCATGAATCCGACAAGTTCTTGTCTTACTTCAAGCCTTGCATTATACCGCTAGAGGGTGGTGTTGCCTCTGGATTTAAAAAAGCCGAGGAGGAGGAGTTTGAAACCCGATTGTATACCTGCAAAGGGAAACGTGCTGTCCACTTGAAACAGGTTTCTTTTTCTGCAGATCTTTGGAAGTGTTGTACTCTTTTTGCAGGGGTGTTTACTATGTATGTAAGCTTATCTCTTTTCTTTTTCCTCTGTAGGTTCCTTTTGCTCGGTCTTCACTGAATCATGATGATGTGTTTATCTTGGACACCAAGGAAAAGATTTATCAATTTAATGGTGCAAATTCAAATATCCAAGAACGAGCTAAAGCGTTGGTAGTCGTCCAATATTTGAAAGACAAGTTTCATGAAGGAACTTGTGACGTTGCTATCGTTGGTAAGTTGTATCTTCTTTACTTTTTGTTCAGTCATTCAAGCAGCAGTTGGATGCACAATGTATTTGTACACAGATTAAGGTACTCATGCATGTATAATAATTTGCTTGCATAACAGATGATGGAAGATTAGATACAGAATCAGATTCTGGAGAGTTCTGGGTCCTCTTTGGAGGTTTTGCTCCAATCGCAAGGAAAGTTGCTAGTGAGGATGACATTATTCCAGAGGCAACTCCGCCTAAGCTTTATAGGTACTTATCTCCCTTTTGATCTGGCTCTTCTCTGTTGGCTTTCAAGTATTTTCTGCTCTTCACACTGATGTAAACACTATTATGATCGCATGATAACTCATTTTAGGCCTTACTTTAAGAAGCTGATTTGTTGTTTCCCTTGTTTAGTATCGCTGATGGTAAGGTAGAACCTATAGATGGCGTCTTATCCAAATCTATGATGGAAAACAATAAATGCTACCTTTTGGACTGCGGTTCTGAGGTATTTATCTGGGTTGGCCGAGTAACTCAAGTTGAAGAGAGGAAAACTGCTATCCAAGCTGCTGAGGTAAAACTGGAATCACTAAATTGCTTAGCCTTAGAATATCTGAGCATTAGTTCTCATTTCTACTTTTTTCTGCAGGACTTTATTGCTAGTGAAAATAGGCCAAAGGCAACACGCGTAACCCGTGTTATCCAAGGTTATGAGCCCCATTCTTTCAAGTCTAACTTTGACTCTTGGCCATCAGGCTCGGCAACTCCTGCTAACGAAGAAGGGCGAGGAAAAGTAGCTGGTAAAGACTGCTTTGATACTCAAGTCATTAATGAAAACTTGAGTGATTTTATTTAGCCCTGACTTTGGTGGTTTGTGATTTTCTAGCATTACTTAAACAACAAGGTGTTGGGTTAAAGGGCCAGTCAAAATGCACACCAGTGAATGAAGATATTCCACCGCTGCTTGAAGGAGGTGGAAAGTTGGAGGTATGTTATGTTTCCTGACTTGTTAAACTACTATTTACTAAATCTAATTGGTTACTTCCGTCCGAACTTATTGAGCTCATGTGATAGGTTTGGTACATAGACGGTAAGGCCAAGACTCCTCTATCCAAAGATGATGTCGGAAAACTTTATTCTGGAGACTGCTATTTGGTCCTTTATGCCTACCATTGTGGTGAAAGGAAAGAAGATTACTTCTTGTGCTGTTGGTTTGGAAAGAATAGCATTCAGGTAAT